ATCAAATGAGGATGGTCGCCCACCTCGGCTAGGGCGATCATAAGGAGCTGGTCTGTTCCTGTAGCTTCTTCCCTCGTCACGTGCTGGACCGCCACTTCCATACTTATCAACCCCACGAGGTCCACCATCTCTATAATACCCCCTATCTTTGCCATAGCCATTTACGGGAAATCGATCAGAATCGTTATTGTACCTACTGCTACCAAAGCGATCTCCACCAGGTGGGTATCTGCAGATTTGCATATAAGATCAGGAATGCAAGGATGGATCAACTATATGCGGGTGCAAGGAAATAATTGAGCAGTGACTCAGATTAATCAGCAAAAGAAATGACATAGGATCTTCAATTGACATAGGATCTTCATTCTGTCAATTTATCAATTCCTAGTGATCATTACTTTAAAACATAAATTTTAAGAATATTTTATACACAGAAAATAATGCCACAAAAATCCACAGAAAATATCAGTCATTACCTTTCACTGACATAGCGATCACGAGTTCCATATTTGCTGTCCCTGCTGTTATCAAAACGATCCCGATCTCCAAAGCGCCCGCCACCTTCATAACGATCATCCACATATCGATTATTATCTCCAGCAAAGCGATCCCCACGGTCACTATCCCCAAGCCGAGAACGTGTAAGAAATGAGTCTCCTCCCCTTCCTCGGCCACCACCCACTGAAGGACAATCTCTAGCCCAGTGTCCATGACGCCCACATTTGAAGCATTCATCTTGCCTCGCAGATCTATCTCCTCCCCCCCTGTAACCATGGTCTATATCTTCTCCCATTTTAGGTTCAGCCTTGTTCACTGAAATGATTCGTTCTCCAAATTCTCGTCCATGCATCTCTCTGATGGCATCATCCATTCCCCGGCGATCTGAAAATGTAATAAACCCAAAGCCACGTGGGCGGCCAGTATTCTTTTCCAACATGATCTACAGGAACATCAAAGAGGTAGTTTACGCCAATCAATTGGACAGCCAATAAAACTTAAATCAAGTCATTAAACCAGAGCTAGTAAAGAACATCTCATACTAATAATGTATACAAGTGACAACTTCAAGCCTACCCGCCATCAGCTTAGTCTAAACCTAGATTATGAAGTAAATTTGTCTAATGTAACAAAAACCGGCATCAGAAACAAGGATGAAGACCCTCACAATTAAAGAAACAGCCAAAATGCACACCTCATATTCAAAGATGACAGGCTATCAGGCTATAGCCTAATCACTAATATAAAGAGGCTTTGTTTTGGTATTTAAGATCCTAGTTGACAACCTTGAAGTTAATAGACATGGAGTTAATCTTAGAGCATGGAATACTATACCCACTCTTGGGCTTGAAGCCCACAAATACAATTGTGACAGTGTCAAGATGCATAAATTCGATACCATACAGTTGACATGATCTACAAGTTGGAGGTTTCAAACTCCAAATTATCATCAAACATGGTTACAAGCCTACATTGCATTAAGAGAATGCAGAATAATAGAATAAGTTAAGGGTACAAGCTGGTGACGGTATACACTATAAAAAGTACATCAAAGAGAATTTGTTCGAAGTTTAAACTTATAACAATTGATAATAACAGCATAAATATGTTTTAAAATATATAACTAAACAGTCGGACAACTTACATTTTTCTTCCATTTATGAAGAACTCATTGCAACATGTTACATAATTCCTTAACAAAACAAAAGAGCCTGTACGTCTTTATCTCTATGTTCTGAAGTGGGAATCTCTTAGACCTCTCTAGTCCCCTTTTATTTAAAGAAACAATTCCATTAAAAAAGTGGCTACATGGACTTCTTCTGTGCAGTCCGGCATCCAAAATGGCACTCAAAGTCAATGTTAACTCAAAAAAACCCAGTACAAACACTTCAGTGGATATGTGTATTACTCCAACTATGGGATTTGTTAACCTCAACAAAGCGGTCACATGATCAATCATATTAGGATGTGATGTGAAAGAGATGGTGACATAAATCTCAAAAAAGAAAGACGAATACTTAAAACAACACATCTTCCAGGATGAATGCTCTAGGAGATGAAGGCAAGGTTCACTAAAACAGTAAAATTTCAAGCAATGGAGATGCCAACTTATTCCGTAATTGAGATCCCTTCAGTTTGTGGACAAGAGGCTGTACTGGAAAACTTGATGACGATAAATCTTGCATGGCAACCATACTTAACTGGGAACATATTCATATTCAAGGAATGACAAAGACTGTCAATGAGTATAATATGAGGGAACTAGCACATCAACACCATAAAAAAGGAAAACAAAATAGCAGAGCATTCTTGACCAATCTTCAGGAACAACTTCAAACAACGAGAAAAGGATGTAAACAAATGAATGGAAAACTACAGCTCCATAATTTCACAGGTTGCCACAACCTAAATCCATTCATCTAAATAGCTCATCAAAAAAACCCCAACCTGCAACACTGCACCTATAGGAACTCAAATTTAACTTCAAATCCAATTGCTCCGATCCAGTACTATACCCAACAAACAGACATTCATAATGCTCGGTCATAACAGAAAACGGAGTCCAACATCAGAGGCCTTAAGAGCTCTGGAAGCTTTGAATGACAAAAATATCCACATCAATGTCCACTGTTCTGTCCACCACATAGTATCTTAACAAGCTCGCCAGAGAAGACAACTGATCAGAATAGGCCCTCATACTGACATTTACAATTCAGCTGACATCATACAATGTCGAATACATGTCAAACTAAAGACTACCGATGCAGTTTGGCCAATTCTTCACAAAAATGTCTGAGCTGCTAAGCCTGACATCGCTAGTGCCATTCTAGCCACATTAGCTGCTAAACAGAAACCAGTACAAACAACTTTCGGAGCGGGCCTGGAAAAGTAAGGGACTCTGACAACTTCATCCCAGCAAAATGAAATTCAACAATGCAGTGTCCACTCAAAAGGATGAAATGGTTATTGATTTCCAAAAATTGTACTTTTGCACATTACCATAAATCTTAGCCCTTAGCCAAAAAGGACGCACCACTTTTACGTATTCCCCATCTTAGAATCAAACTGACAACTCTCAACACCGGTGAAACTAGCAAACGAGAAAACCAGCTATCTCTCACTTTGGTAATAATTACAGTTATAGATAGGAAAACGAAGAAAGCATTGCAAAGAAGCAGCCACTAGTAAGAAACCATCTTCATACAACATAACTTTCCATCCAATAACATACAGATTCTGAAGCTTTTCTGAGATTAGAGGACTTAGCAAACTCATTATCTGAGTCAATATGGCAATCTATCCCAAACCTTCTGCCCCATGTACATCATCTCATATAACCACATAACCTTCATCATAAATTTTAGTCATACTATTGGTAAGTGCGGTAAGCCAAGGATAAGATACGGTTTCATAATCATCCCAAGCAAGATAAAATTCTCCGAGCAAATACTAGAACGTTTATTAGTCAGATGCTGAAACATTTTAGCAACTTCAGTTTCGTCATCAAAAACATCAACGAACAATAAAACAATAAAGGTCTGCTGTAGCAGGCATCAGCACAGCACTTGTTAAGAGTTCCTCCGGTTTTAAATCATTTATCTGTCGCAAAAAAGTGATAAGTTCTTTTATCCCACAGAAACAATTAGTCGCTGAATTTGCGTATTAAAATCCTACCAAACCCCAATCAGCTAGGCAGGCGACCATATTCCCAATTTCCAGACAGTAGCACTTTTTCTTTGCTAGCAGATCTTAAATCAGATAATAGTTAAGCACATACAAGCCTATGACCAGCATCTTGGTGCATTCTTACGTGGATAGAGAAACCGCTTCCCAAAAAGTTTATTAACAGCATCCTCATTCACAAGGGGAAAAGAAACATCATCAGAAAGAGAAGAGGTTGTTGAAAAATTACAGGTGCCACAAAACAATGCAGAAAAAACAAAAAATTATGGCTTTCGATGATAAAAGTTAATCTTGCAATTCATCTGTAGTTTTCTTTTTCATGCTATCGTCAGAGGGAAATGTTAATTAGAGGGAAGGGAGTGGAATTTGAGAAATTATATTCTCCATATGAACATTGAACCAGAATGATACCAATCTAATCTATTTTCTTCTCATATAAGAAACAAATGGACTTCTTATTCCAACGTGTTAGGTTAAAACGAAGTCCAATTGCTTCAGTTTTCAGCCATACAGATCAAACCACAAATCAATTAACAGACATAAAAATGGTAACCTGAGAATCGATAATTTTGCCGAATCGACTGAAGGCATTCTCAAGCAGACGCTCCGTGATGTCCCACGACAACCCTCCCACAAATATTCGGTACTCCTCTCTCCCAGCCATACCAATCTCCGGATTTCAGAAAAAAAAATCCTCCTGCACAACAAAACCCAGAGTAGTTTGGCAAATCGAAGCAAAATGTTAGACGAAAATCGACGAAAACGAAGAGAATCCAGTGTTTCCTACCGTAAAGAACAATTGATAGTAAGAATTAGGAGAAAATTGAGAAGGTGGAGAGAGGGAAATACCTGGTTCGCGCGGTTGGAGTGAAATATTCTGATAGATTTCGTTTCTAAAGATTCCTCAATAACCCTAGAAAATAACTACGTAAATATACGCTATATATATATATATGTATACATGTATATGTTTGGCTTAGATGAAAGAAACTTCTTCATCCATTAATTTAACCAAACTTGAAGGGCTTAAATGAAAATTTTATAAAATTTTGGGTATAATTTATATTTTTTTTTTTATAAATTCTCCTCCAAAATTACACGATGCATCTAAGTTATTTTTTTTCATCTTATAAAAATAAATAAATATTATAAATATCATTTCAATTATGCCCTTATACTTTTAAATTATTTTTTTTCCACCCCTAAATTTTAAAATTTAAGCTATTTCACTTCATATTTTTATATATTTACCTCTTTAATAAAATATGAACTAATCGAGAATTATAACATTTTAATTATATTTATTATAGAATGTGAAAGAGGTAAGAAAATGGAGTTTATGGATTAGAACTTAAACTGGCAAATTTTAACGTTATAAAAACAACACCATCAACTCTCATTTACACCCTCCCCAGACTGTACAAACTCTTAGTTTCAAGTTCTACCATCCCATCAGTATATTTCTAACGCCCTCTTCGATCTTGGTCTGTTGCACCGAAACGATGTCGCCTTCGTCGAGTAAAATTCGATAAACTTCCCACTCCCGGTCGTGGATCATGTGCCTTCCTATCTCCACCTATGAACGAGTTTATCAGTTAGTAGTAAGAACACAATGTCAAGCTATCACCGGTAAGAGTTTGATAATGAATTGAGTACCGAAAATATGCTCGTGTTGAGATGTTTGAGTGCCAATGTAATATCGTGGAAGACGAGGGGGCGACCACGGCCAGATAACTCCACTGGGTTGGCTACTAGAAGCTCTGTGTCGGGACCCCTGCTCACTACGGCGACTCGAAGAGGGCGTGTGAGTTCCATTCTTAGACGGGAACATAGAGCGTTTTGCTTGTTTGAGTCGACTATCTTACTGCCATCTGATTGCATTGTGAATAACTCAACATCACATTTTCCTTTTGAATTGATATAGAAGCGTCCATAAGAAACCTGAGAAGTCAATCAAATGCTGTTCATCAAATAAGTGAAGACTCGGCGATGCAGGACTCGAACGTAAAGGGGAATGAATACCTGAATGCTGTAATCCTTCAAAGTTCTCATGATATCATAAACAAGACCTTTGTGATCTAGACAAAGAAGCTGAAGAACGGTGTGAGAACGGCTGATGGCATTGTCCATATCGACAACAACTGAGTTCGAGGGAAGGTGTCGGTTAGGAGGTCCAAATGGCAACTCCAAACTGAACAATTCTTCAGCAATGGAGGAAGGTAGATATGGTGAGCCTTGTGAGCATGCAGTAAACTCCGGGCCAGCTAATTCGATCTCACAACTCATTAGGACATCTGCCAAAATGGCTTTCAAGCGGTGCATCGTCTCCTCCTGTCTCTTTCTCGTGCGAAGAAGTTCTCTGATTGTAAGAGTTTTGACAGAAAAATCAGAACGGTTTGAACAAGATTGTCTAAACAAGAGCTATGTATAAGCTGAGCATGAGGTAGAAACAGGATCACACCACAAGATTCAAGCAATCCATTCAAGTTCCAGATATTGAATTCTAGATTCATACATATTCAAAGGATATTTATGGCTACGACACAATGTAATACGATATCATGAATGACGAACCTTGTATCGGTTATAAAGAAGAGGTCCATCATTTTTCCATCCGGCGCAGTCGAAACCTTCACCCTTCTTATTGTTAGTTCTAGCTCACAAAGGAGCTCAGACACATCTACAGAGGGAGAACATGATGAAACAGGTCAATTGGCATAGGGTGCAAATATAACTATAATGAAACATGAATCAAAGTTCATTAAAGCTGAAAGTAAATTGTAATCCAGTCAAATAACTCGGACTCCATTTGGATTGACTTTCTAAATGCCTATTACTTAGAAACACTTTGCTAAGCACTTAAAAAGTTGATACGGTGGGTGCCACTTAGAAACACTTTGTAATCCAATGCATGTGCCTACGTTGGGTATCACGACTCCGTAGTCTTCTTCTTTCAATTTCACCTGTTTTCGATCGTCTCGACTTTTGAAATCCCCCCCCCCCAGGAAAACCTCCCAAATCATGTTTTGATTGGATCGACTATGTATATATGGATCACTAGCAAGAAATCATTGATTTTGAATACCTAAATTCTGCACGCATTGCACTAGGCCATACTCGTCACAAATGCAAAGTGGCGAATAAGGAACCTAGTGTCAACCCTTCACCGAGAATGTCCTATGTTCCAAGAACCAATGCTACCTAGCACTACCACTAAAGTTAGCCTTCGTGATTCAGATGTTCATGCTATTGACATGCAAACCATTGAAGATGATCCTCAGGGCAAAGAGCTTGAACCAGATAACAATCCCCAAGCTTCAGTTCTTCAACAACCGAAATATTTAGCTATTAGAAAATCTCCTTCGGTTAACGCAACCCCTAATACCAGCAGTAGCTCTACCTCAAGGGGACAGCAGGAACAAATAGGTCTTCGTTCTTACCAAATGCGATAAATATTTAGAATATAATGATTACACTTCAAAACCTACAAGGGATTAGCTAACTTGAGTAGCTCCATGAATTATGCAGGGACCATTAGTAGTTCATCTTCGTTTCTTATACGTCCCAAGAACTAAAGTCTTTTCTATAAATCCATACAGATTAATCAGGAACTTATAGACAGACATGAACATTAACGAACACATATTGCAGGCACTGAGGGAACAAGGCCAATAGAAGAAGATCCAATGATCTTTCAACAAGCATATATGCATCAAACAACGTGAATTCAAGAGATTTCAAACAATTACCATGCAATAAGCCCTTAGGATGAGAAGAACACCAAAATTTCAACAGGAAAACATCTGGAGGTTTCTGAATCTCCTTATCTTGCTGGTAAAAACGTATCCCTGTAGTGGAAAAATGGGAAGGACAAACTTCCAACAGCCTCTTCTTCAACAAAGGCCACCTGGTACTCGGCTTTCCCACAACCCAGAACACTATATAACACCATTTCCCATCCGTCGAGAAATCTGCTCCCACAAAAACATCGAAGAACTTAATCAAGAGTACTAAACGGATCAACAGATCAAATGGAAAAAAACTTGAACAATCCCTAATCCATGTTGGATTATATCAAAAATCACTACAAATCTCAGAACACACAAGTTTTTCAGTGAAATCACCTAGCAAATCTAAACAATACAAGAATTCTTCAAGGATTTACCTCCTCTTGAAATGCTCAAACCAAAAAGCAAAACGATCCTACACAGATCGGATCCAAGTCCAGTCTTATCAGGACAATTCACAGTGATAACATGAGGATCGCCAGACTTTTCTCCATGAGTAATAACCACAGAATCCTCATACAAAATGCCCATTGTCTCAGCTTCCGTACACTCTACCTTCAACCCTTCCCTTCACCATTCAAAAACAGCGAGAAAATCCAACAAGCTGTTCTAATTCTTCGATGAACTGCAGTCTTGCAATGTTTAGTGGAGCAAATGGATTGGAGATGCCGTCCAAAGAAAGTAAAATCTGGTGAAATACACGAAGAAGATATCATCCGTCCCCCTTTTCCTGTTCTTGTGCGCTTTTTCCCACTGGATTTTCTTTCTGGATTGGTGCCTTTATTTTCCCTTCTCAATTTCTTTTATCCAAATTTTCTTTGCTTTTAGTTGAAGAATTCGGACACACGGACAGCGATATTTAATATTTTTAATTGATAATTATTATTTATTGCAATTTAATTTAAATTTCCAACTTAATTTCAAAACTTTTATAAATCCCTTTTTCTTTTAATATAAAACAAAATACTAAAATGGGGTTTTCCAATAAATATTAAATTATAAACTGCAAAAATCAATAAATATACATTAATAGCCTTCTCTATTAGGTGAAAGTTTAAATAATATTGCATTATTGAAAAATACATATGTATATATTTGGAATTTAATTTAATTCAAAAATTTATTGTATTTTATTATATCTGCCTTTTAATTATTTTCCATGATACACTAAAAATAAATAGTATGTGCATTATGATATTGGTTTTTTTTTTTTATTAATTTTATAATTTGTGGAATTTAAAAAAATAATAATCAAATTAAAGATTTAAGTAAATAGATATTTAGGCGGCGGGAAAAATATCAGAGATATTTTGGTACGGTCAACTCAAGGAGTTAGCGGGTCGGATTCTAAAAATGGATCTTCATTTTGTCGTGTTTCCGGATATATTGGAACAAAATATATCGCTGTTTAACAATCGTATCGCGATATTTTGACGATACATTAGGTATGTCTGCAATTACCAAACACTACCTACATCTGCCACTAAGATTGAGCCACGTGGTTATTATTCTTATCCAATCCCGCAAAATGGAATATTAGAAGACGGGGACCACGTCAGCTAAATAAAATACCAAAATTAGTCATTTTATATTTTTTTAAACAATATTATATTAAATTAATTGCAATTTGAGGTGGCGAATGAACAAATAGATGATTAATACGTCGTCGTTTTAGCTTTTAATTTATTTATTTTTGGTTGCATGGATAATTTTTGTTTTATTATTTTATTATGCAATTAAAATATTTGTTTCTATGGAGAAGCCACTTTGAAATAATAAATGTGATGATTTAAATAATATATTTAAAAGCTAAATATAGTCAATAATGGCGACTTGAATGATCATATTAAAGTAATTAATGTGTACCTACCATTTCCGAGGTGATTTATTATATTTTTATTCCCTAGTCCCTCAAGTCCACAATATTTACAATATTTAATTATGTTTAATTGTTAGAGCTTAGTTTATAGATTTACAATTATTCAAACAACGTTATTTTTTAAATTATATTTTTGTGTTAAATATGTTGTGACATATTTAAATATTTAAAGATATTAAATGTAACGACCCTAAATTTCTACATATCTAGAGTCGCCACTAACGTCTTATGCTCATCTCTGATGTAGAATATAACTCTAAGAAATGCTCATCTTTATTAGCGAAAAAATTTTAACCTTCAAAATACGTTAAAACATTAGAAAACACCGTCGGACTTACGTGTTTCAAACATCATACTGGAGTTCAAAATAAGATAAAAACAATTACAAATTAAATTATTTAAATAAATCAAAGCAAGCACCTTATCCTAACAAAGTCTAGGAATTTTAAATATGCAACTATTATATGCATGCGCCACAGTCTCTGATCACGATGCCACCGTCAACCGTACATGGGAGAGCCTTACTTTTATCTGAAAAACAATATGGCACACGGCATAAATACTAAGTAAGTGACTCCACTATAGGGGTCATGCTAATGCAAACACATGCAATCATGAATTAGGGACCTATCTATAATCATCTTAAGGGTGGCTTCCAGTCTCGGACAAATTAGATGTGTAGTACTTCCCTACACACGACTCACACGTGCGAGTGTAAATTCCTAGGGCGCTCGCACACCCCCTAGACCCTCTAGTCAAGCTAATCTGTAGCGACGTCCGGAGGTCAGCGGAACCCCATAGTGTCATGCACCTCGTGAACACCCTCATATGTGTGCATTCGCACCTGTGCGCATATACGCTCATCATATGGTGCGCGTCCGCACTCATCATCTCTAGGGGAAGTAGCCCTATGCTTATGAACATACAATATGCATGAGGTCCCTCTAAGTCCAATTAAACATCTCTTCTACACAACCCTCTAGTCTCATCTCTTGGTTACACTATGTAAGACGTGCTTGTGGATGTTTACATTAAGATCATTTTCATACTCTTAGGGTTGTATCATATGTCGATCTAACGACATGATGCAATATGGCAAACAACATCATAAGGCATGTTCAATATGGAAAACATCATCATGTTAATAACATCGTCATGCATACATTATACTCATCATAGAAGCCATTAAGTGCATCAAATATAACATGTATGTCATGCATTGAAACATAAATAGCGTACATTTAACAGACATCACAACCCAGCGTCATACTCACACATCATCATAATTCAAACAATCTTTAGCCTATCCTATAATAAGGCCACTTACTTGGTTGACCTTAGCCGAAGTATTCCCTAATTAGCTAAACGTAAGCTCTCGTTCCGTGACAGCTGCTTCCTATGTTGCCGGGATTTATTTCCTATCACACCGTTCGCCATCTTCCGTTAGTATTTCACAAATAATTTACCAGTAATTTAATAAAATGTGAAATACAACTCTAAAACGGCCTCGGATACCTTAATCGGGGCCGAAAACAGATTCAGGAGGCTCAAAACAGTAGAAACCGGGTTGAAAACAGGTGAGTCGAGCCGAACAGCCGCTGGAGCATCACCGAAGGGAGCCCGAGCCGTTTGCGCCGAACTGAGCCAAGGGACTGTCTGCATCGCTGTGTGACACATGGCAGCAGCAGAGTGAGCCACGTCGTGTGTAGCGTCGGGTCAAGGCGCGGGTCACAATCTGGTTTGGGTCGCGGGTGTAAAAGGCTACTGGGCTGGGCTGCAAGTGTTTGGGTTGCAGGGCGGTTCGATTGGACCGTGGGCTGGTTTGAGGTTTGGGCCGCTGTAATTGGGTTGGGCCAAAGGCAGAGACTGAGGGAAAGAATCAGGCTGGCTCTCTCGGGTTTTGGGTTCGGGTTGACCCGGATTCGTGGATCTCGTCTTCCTTACCCGACTTCGGCCGATTTTCCGGCGCGTCTTCTCTCTTCTTTCCGCGGCGTTTCGTTGCCGATTTCGGTCCTCTTTCTTCCTTTCCCTCTTTGTTTGTCGTCCTTCTTTCCTTCCTCGAAGTTTTGCGGTCTAAAAGTTCCTAAAACCCCAGATCTAAGAACGTTTAGGAAAATCCAATTTTCTGACCTCGGTTACCGACGACGGCGCTTACGAAAAGGCACAAAATGTACCTTGAGTTATTGTACTTTCGTTTGGGATCCTTCTTGTGGTGGTAACTGATCGTTTGGTGTTAGTTTTCGGGTAGTTTGAGACTCGTCGGAGAAATTGGAAACTCGCCAGCTTTTATCCGATATCTCTCTCTCGTATTTTCTTTCTTTTCTCTGTTTGCAGGTATCTTGATAGGTTCTAGGAGTCGTGGGCTGAAGGCTGAGCGAGTTGTGGCTGTCGTTTCGTGTGGGATCCGCGAAACTCGGCGGTTGCCGAAAAACTCGCAAGTTTTCCAGTGACTAATTTTTTTTTCGGGGTTGTTACATAAAATTAAATTTTGTGTTTAATAAAATATAAAATTTTAATTTATTGTCCAGCAAACAGTATGAATAAATTGATTTATCCAATAAGTAAATAAGTTTTACCTTTTATAATAAAAATAATTTATATATTATTTTTTAATAACTCATAAAAAAATTAAATTGCGAAGAAATAAATAATAGTTTAATATTAAATTTATAGAGTAATTACATAAAACACACATATCATTCATCGTTAATACGGCGTCGTAGTGTGCAATACCGATGCAGATTTCCGACTCCTCTATGATACACGAAGAGGCGGATGCCACGATTCATACATGGTCACCACGTGTCGCTTTTATAAGAAGACACCTATATCGACGTGCCACCTATCCTTTCACATCCTCATTTACAATTATACCCTCATGTCGGTTTATCAATTTCCGGTAAGCTTAGGGAGATAACAAATTTTTTTTTTTTTTAATTTTAATTATTTATTACGTCCAAGTTACCAAAATCAGGAATTCGTAAGTCATATATTTTCATGGACAGAAAGGTAATTTTGCACTTACTTGAAATCTGTAAACCGTCACGAGGACGAAGCTAGAAAAGAGGCTGGCAGACGGCAGAAGGCTAACCAAAGCAATACAGTGAAAGAAAATGGAAAGGTCGGTATCCCTCCTTCTAACATGCGCATTTAGCCTCGCATTGCTAGCCTGCGCCACCGCTCTCCGCCAGGGCCCGGAATTCCTACGCCAAGTCACCGACGGCGGGATTATCAACAGTCTCCCGGCGGGGAGCGAGAGGAAGTTCGTGATGTTTATGGAGAAATACGGGAAGAGCTATCCGACGAGGAAGGAGTATTTGCACCGCTTGGGGATTTTTGCTAAGAATTTGGTGAGGGCGGCGGAGCACCAGGCGTTGGATCCGACTGCCGTGCATGGCGTGACGCAGTTCTCGGACTTGTCGGAGGAGGAGTTTGAGCAGATGTTTATGGGCGTGAGAGGCGGCGCAGGGGGAGCGGAGTTGCTGGAGATGAATCAGGCGGAGGAGATGACGGCGGAGGGATTGCCGGAGAGGTTTGATTGGCGGGAGAAGGGGGCTGTTACCGCGGTTAAGATGCAGGTAAATTTGGGTAAAAAAATAAAAAATAAAAAATATATTTAATATTCGTAACTGTTTACGGTTTAGCAGGGCACGTGCGGATCGTGCTGGGCATTCAGCACGTGTGGGGCAGTGGAGGGCGCGAACTTCATAGCCACCGGAAAGCTACTTAGCCTCAGCGAGCAACAGCTTGTGGATTGCGACCACACGGTCAGTACTTTCCTTCCGAATTCCCTCCCTACCCCTAAACCCTAATCCAAATCTGAACCGTTCATCTTCCTCAGTGCGATCCAACGGACAAGACCGCCTGCAACAACGGCTGCAATGGCGGCCTAATGACCAACGCCTACAAATACCT